CTAGAATGTTAAGCTGACAAGCTTCTTTATCATCAAGCAAATATGATTGTTCATAAAATATCATGGTTAGCAAACAATCAATAAACCAAAGTACGTTTCGAAAGTATGGGTCCTTTGCTATCTAGCGAATATAATCTAGATCGCTTGCTCCCATAATCTCCTAAATAGCTGCCAAGATTTCCATTAGGTCAGCTTTACCCGCTTGTAATTGTTGCAATATTCTAGGGTGGAACTGGAGCAATTTGGTAAGTAGTAATTAGGGAGAGCATTACTCGGGCTATCCCCCAGACACAGCGCCTTAACGAGTCTTTAGAAGTTCTGTAATTTTTTTTTTTAAATTCGACTTTAGGTGCTGACTGCTCCTTACTCCAAAAATCTATATTTTATGATTCTACGCACGATTGAGGCTTGACTGCAATCATGTCCAAAGATAGCGTTAAAAATAAGCCATTGCTACATCACAGCTGCGGCAGTAGTGGTAATCATCCAGTATCAATGGTTTTTGAAAAATCATTGATTTTTATGCCAAAGTTTCGTTAACTTCTAAGAAGATCTTATTTCCTATATATCACTCAGAAGGTACGAAAGAAATAAGATGAATTTTTATCATCTCATTTTTGAAACTGTTCAATCAAATCTCAAATAATGCTTGAACTGAAGTAACCTAGAGTCATTATCCTATGTTTTCGTATTAGTTTCAGTGGTCTTAGAGATCGCGGACGACAGGTGTTTACGCTTTTGTAGTCAAGCGCGCCAAGAGAGTAATATCTGTTTCGCGTATGGTAAAGCCCAAAACAATATCTTTCCCTTCATATGAAAGATCTTCTGCACTAAGTTTGTCAGTCGTTACGTTAAGCAGCTGTAAGACTTGCGAACTTTGTAGTTCCCCGGAGGTAAGCTTCGGGCCTTTTATTGTCGCAATCACTTATCATATGAAAAGTCCAATCACCTTAAGAATAATATATTTGCCAGACGGTAGAATCTTTCAAAAATGATAGTTCGCCTCAACAGATGAATAGATCGAAATTTTTTCTCTTATATCAGTTTGTACAAATGGATGGAGGCTTCATTAGCAATAATTCTTTACCTCGAATGTCTCTCAAATATAAAAACATATGTTACACTCCAGTGAAGAGAAGAGCTCTTTTCTTGAGTGTTTAAAAATTCTTTTGTAGTTAAAGAATGAAAACTTCAGATATGGGACTTTGCCACATTAGTACACGTGCGGGATTTCAAAGGCCATCGGGCTCCGATCACAGCTTTGTGTTTTCAGTTGAAAACAAACTGTGTGTTCAGTGCCAGTCGCGATCGATCTGTAAAGGTATGTTCCTTGCCCCTTATATTCATTCTGTTGAACAATGAGGATTCTCTCAGTTATGGGATCTAGACCAGATGGGAATGGTTGACACTATGTACGGTCACCAGGATGCAGTTGTGGCACTTAGTGCTTTGCAGAAGCAACGAGTTATAACTGCGGGCAGACAAGATCGGAGTTGCAGGTTGTGGAAAGTTGAAGATGAGAGTCAGCTGGTGAGTAGTTGACTAACATAAAAAGTTTCTCTTAAGGATGCTACTTTTCATTTCCAAATACTCGTCACAGTTTGCACATTTTATATGGAAAATGGCGTGGATTTGCAGTTAATTCCTTCTATTTGGATTGGAAGGAACATTTGAAGATCGGAATTACATTCCTCTTCAAGTCTTTTGTACCTGCTTTTGGATGCGCTGTTTTCTGCAATAGAATGAAATTTATTAGCAGATGAAAAAGAAAATTACATGAAGCTTAATATCTAACCATGAAAGCCTACTGTAAAGTTGATGGTGAACACCCAGCAAAATTTTAGGAAATTTACAATGACAACCTAGGTTTTCCTCTTTGACACAATTGTTCCTATAAGATCGTATTTAGCTATTCAATGGTTATTCTGCTTGTGTTAGCATGGACTGCGCGGCTATGTTGAATGACGAACATTTTGTGTCAGGATCTGCAGACGGGTATGTAATCCTATCTTCCAAAAGTGTATTGAATAACGTTGAATTTAATACTATTCCTTCGCTTGGCCATGGTTTTTACTGTTATTGCTCTTACATTTTCTTGTGTTTAAAGCCATTTTCGGCGCTTTTGTGATTCTCTTAATTAATCTTTTTATGAGGAATAGCAACATTTGCGAGCTCATTGATGGAACGATCAGAAAAAAGCTTACAGGTTGACTTATTATCATAGAAGAAGAATTTTTATATTCTGAATCATAACACTGAAATTTTTTTTTGGCTCTCATAATTTCTAACTTGGTCACTCGGTGTCTCCGATGTGTCACTGCTTTTTGAAAATTTCTTCTCAAAAGTACGTACTATCCGAACATCAGCATTTCCGCAGCATTCAAGTTTGTTGAACGAGGAATTCCTAGCGTCTATTCCGCTTTGACTACATTCCTTACGGCAGTTTCTTTTTCGCTCATTCGCTTTTTATCTCGTATACTAGGCCCCCTTGTTATATATGTTTCTGGTTCCAAATTGACTTTCAAAAGGTGCATAAGACAACTATGAAGGTTTTGCCCAGAACATCTAATTGCAAGAGAATATCAAGCTTGATGAAGAATGTGCATATGCTCAAATTCAATGGTCTGCCAATTCTCAAGTTGTGAATCTTTCAAAACGTGCAAGCTTACCTTTTTTTGAAAGGCAAACATCAATGGGTTGTCATTACTGGGCTCATTTACGTGCGGGGTTCATATATCATTCATTGTTATTTTGTTGTTCTTCTAACGCTGTTTCT